GCAGCAAAGTAAACCGATGAGGGTGAACATGAAAGAACCTGAAGAATTGGAACCCATGAAAAAGATAGACGAGATCAGGAGATTCTCAAACAAGGAGTTGAGGCTCACTAAAGAATCTATGGGAGCATTGCCGAAATCCAGTGAATACTGTGGACCGATCAAGAAGAAGTCATATAGCTATGTGTCCGGGATTATAGGGATAGCATATAATCCTTTCCTGAGTGAAGACATACGCGATTGCTTCTTTGATTATGAGCAGGCGGTGTTACTAAGATTCTGGACGTCCAGAATTGTAACGATTAAAAGCGTCAACAATTCACAGGCCAAATTGGGACTGGTCTTGGAAGAAGAGGTGACTGCACCTTCAGTACCAAAATCCGACAAGAGAGTGGAGTTTGGGTTGGGATTCTCAGATGAATTACTGAGAACGAGCTTGATGGCAGTGTGGGAATTAATGAGACCATCATGGTGTCCTAGTCCCAACGCTGACTCAATATTACGGGCGACACAAGACGTACAGAGGGAACTTAATGCAGACTGTAACCTGCGTGACCTCAACATCATATATAATGTGATGATAACAGCCTCTAAGAGCAACGGAGAAGATAAAGTGGAGTTGCCTGGCTGGGGACCAGAAGACTGGGTCAAACCTGGTAGCTGTCTGGCGGAAGTCTGTGGACTAGAGGGTCACGTTTGTGGAAGTCTAGACGGTGTGAAAACCCTGGAGAAACAACACAAGCAGTTGACACTATTGTTTGGAAATGTAGTGATGAAAGCAAGAACGGAAACGGAACTGATAGCAGATTGCCATGGAGGAACCGATGTGAATCTAGTGACAGCACTAGGATTCTACAGCATGTTTGGTTCTTTAGAGTCACTATTGAATCTAGAACAGAAACATGAGATGGTCACGGCCATCAGCGTAGAAGTATTCCCAGGAGTTCTGCAGACTGAGCAGAAGTATATAGGAAAATGGAGGGAAGCAATCGAAACAGAGATGAACATCAGACACAGCGAAACTTATTGTAGACCATCAGGAGCACGATATTTGGTGGGTTCAACGTTGGCTCCAATGTGCAAGAGCAGATACCCTGTACATTTCGTGGCTGTGGACGTGAAGAGTACAAGAACGATCGTGGATCAAGCTTTCTCAGTGCCAAAGTGCGTGAGATTGGCGAGAATGTCTGAAAAGTCTTACGAGTTACTATGTAAGATGTTCTCAGCAGTTCCAGAGAGAACCAAAGAGGAGTTGGAGTCAATACTAGGAAAGAAGTTCATGGGATATGTGAGCGGGAACTTCAGTGACTTTGAAAAACAGAAACAGAGAGGATCAACTGTCACAGATTACAATGCAGTAGATGAGAATGATGAAATCCACCGAGTGATGATGGAAGTGGAACCATTGCTGGAAGCTTCAGGAAAACGCAATTGGAGGAGCATCATGTTGACACATGACGAGTTTCCTTGCCACTGCTTGCTGCAGACCTGGTGGTATCCCAAGCGTAGTATTTTGGTGTTGATCTGGGACTCTGGAGAGCTGCTCTCCATGGGTTTACCAGATTCATCACAGCCCATAACAATAGTGATAGTGGGAGTTATGATGGCGATACGATGGCTGGAAGCTCATGTGAGAGAAAATAATAGACAGGAGGCACCGACGAGAGAACAATTGCAGAAATTAGATTGTCTAAAAGATTTAGATCTTTTTGAGACAATGTGCAAAGTTCTAAACATTCCGATGGAAGTGAAGAAGATATGGGCAAGAAAACGATTGATGCCATGGTTCAGAGCTAACATGACTGCATGGTTGTACGAGTATGCGAAAAAGCATATGTCGAAACATGGCAGAGTGTACAGTGAATATCAGCTGGACATTGGGGCAGGAGCTTTCAAGCGAGCTTTCGTGACCCATCGGAATGCAGTGACCACCGCTGTGAAAAGAATTTCCAGGACGAGCGAGCGTAGTGGAAATGAGAAGGCAGAGATGCTGAAAGAAGATTTGGAGAGAAACGTGACGTTGTGTCTCCACAACAGCTTCTGTAGAATTAGAGAATCAAACGTGGATCCCCTACCTTGCTGTAAACAGAGGGTGGAAGAGCAGAAGTGTTGGAGGACGGCTTCCAACAGCGTCAGGATAGTCAATGACGTGCTACAAGACACGGAAACCGAGAGTGCGGAGTCAGTGTCATAGGAGGAGGAAATGGAGCATTGACGAATGGTCGAGAAAACAAGAGGCAGCAAGAAAGAAAATTAGAAGAATTTAGAAGTTTTAGAACTTCTAAACGACGAAAAAAGAAGAGAACAAAGGGATGATGAAGAAAAGTTAAAACTCAGAATTGTTTTATGTGTGTGAAAAGCTCAAGTGAGAAACCAAGCAACCAAGTTGTAATTGGAAACTGAAACATTTAGTTGAGTTTGGAAATTGTTGCATTTATAAATTTGCATTTTGGTTTTAGTTGAAGTGGCTTTAGAGACACTCACTTATTATTTATTTAGAAAGGCTTGAGGGAAGAGTATATTTAAATATTCCAGCCTGCATGATTGTTTTTAATCACTTAGGAAGACTGATGACTTTGTGGTGACATGAAAAACTTGAGTAACTTCTTGAGGAGGGAGGTTGTTGCATTGTTCTTTCTAACCACAAGGTCTCTTGGTTTTAATATTCAGGACAATAAACAAGCATGATTTCCGAAGGGAAGGAGCATAGTAGGATAATTTTAGCTTGTTGGTTGGCAGGACTGTCCTGCAAGCCAACATCTTTTAAATCTAGGAGAAAAAGCTTTAATCGGGACATTGACACTGGAAGTCAGAAAATATGTTTTATCTTAAGTCATATCCTCAATGTGCAGATTAATGAAAGAATTTGAAGGCTATAGTGATGTAGTATGATGCCATTTATATTCCGCAGTGAGTCGATGTGACGTAGATAAAAGTAATTTCGTGCATTTTGTAAATTCTGTTCGATGACGCTGTAACCATTTAGAACATAGTGCGATTCAATGAGGACATTGACCGGACTGTCCGGGGAGTATGTGACATTCGACCAGAATGGCCAAAGTGCAATTTATGCAGGCTTCGAATTTTTAGCAGTAAGCCTTCCGAGTTGATGATTTCGAAGGATTAGCGACGTTATTGGAACGTTTAGCCAAACGGTGAGGGCTAGAATATTCTAGTATTTTAAATTTTCAAAAATTCGAATGATGACGTCACATTTCGGAGAAATGCTGAAACGGCCATTTTTAACAACAAACGAGTGAAAAAACAGAACAACTTTTATCTGCGATTGCGAACAGTACGAAAATCGAGATTGGAAAACGACAACGAACTACAGAATAGCAGAGAACGTTCCGAGTTGCAACTATTGTGCTGCTACAATATTTGCAAGGCCGTTGCCAACAACGGTGAAGGGTGAGAACCAGCCTTCCGGATTGGCGTGAAATTGAACTTAAGGAGCTTGATTCACTGGATTCAAGAATCCGGAAGGGTCTCGGGACGGAAACTTTTATTAACTCACATAAACTTTTAGCATCCTGTCATGTCCTGACTTGAATTTAACTGATATTTTGATTAGTTTTGACAAGGATGAGGTGCTAAGAGTTGGGGGGGGGGGGGGAAAGGGTTAATCCATCTTCGATGGAGATGATGATTTTTATCTACTGAACAAAAACAATCGTAATATAATAAGTAGTAGCCCTGTTTTTAGGAGTGACCTCGTGGTCTGGGGATACTGAGACCCAGCCATGAGCTCACTATTTTTGCATGTAATTCAGTTAATTTGAGCGTTCTGGTCGAAGCCGGAGAATAGTAACGTTTTTGTCGACCCGATGTTGGAAAAGACCACCGAAAAGTACTGGCTTGGTAGAGACGGTGAAAAACATGCAAAGCTCTGTTTAGACGCTAGCCAGTCGTCTTAAGACTTAGTTTTGTTATCCGTCGATATGTATCTTCCGGGCGAATGTTACAACTGAACTCAAACTATTTTAAACGAACTTTTAGCGTCCTAGTCATGTCTTGAATTGAATTCAGATAACATCACGGTTCATTTTCAAATAATGAAAAGCTAGGAGTTGAGAGAAAGGGATGATCCATCTTGATGGAGATGATGATTTCTATCTACTGAACAAAAACAATAGTAATATAACAAATAGTAGTAGCCCTGTTTTTAGGAGTGACCTCTCGGTCTGGGGATACTGAGACCCAGCCATGAGCTCACTATTTTTGCATGTAATTAAGTTAATTTGAGCGTTCTGGTCGAAGCCGGAGAACAGTAACGTTTTTGTCGACCCGATGTTAGGAAAACCACCAAAAGAATTGGCTTTGGTAGAGACGGTGAAAAGCATGTAGAGCTTTGTTTAGACGCTGGCCACTCGTTTTATAACTTAGCTTTATTTTCCGTCGATATGTACTTCCGGGCGAATGTTACAATGTGAGTACCTAATTTAATTTTCTTGAGTGTGTTTTATTTTGTTATGTTGAGTTAGGGAGAGTTTTCAGGTTGATCCATCTGAAATGGATCAAAGGTCCACTGTCTATTAAAAAATAACTATACATAATGTTCCCACCCTGTTTTTAACGGCGTTTGCGTATTTTAGGTATTTTGAGACCTGAGTATGGGGGCGTTCTTATTTTCTGGAGTTGGGGGGAGGGGGGGGGGGGGGAGGTGGTATTTTCGTAGTGGCCTTTAAGCTGTAACGCGGGTTTAAGTCTCATATCGCAAGTGAACCGAATTGGCTCCGACCGCTTGAGGTAGAAAAACACAAGAGATAGTGTCCCTGACTCTTGAGCCAATGGTTATAGGGCCTATTTTTCTTTAACCTCATATGTGACTTAAGTAGGCGACTGTTACAACTCGTTTTTTTTTGTTATGCTCGTGCTTCTCGTTTTAAAAAAAGGCAGATTGCAGCTCAAAGAGTACGAAAACAGCTCGTTAGGTCAATAAATCGAAAACAAAATTAATAGATTGGACAAAAATAACCGATTCAACTACAACTTTCAGAATCACACATGACCACCTCTGAAAATTTGCTGTACAATGTGTACAATCACAATGACTGGTGTGTGGAATCAGAAGAAATAACCTTCCGTTTACCATACTCATTCAACGTTTCGGTTTGGTCTATTCTAAGGACTGCTGGGTCATTAATTCGATCAAACGTAAATAATGTCGTTTTCCCACTGAATCAGATATTTCTGCGGATAAAAGAGTTCTCACTCGACTGGAAGGTAGATTACCACGATGCATCAAAGTTGCTAGCAGTTGCAAGTGAACGAGAAGTATTCTTGCTGTCTTTTGAATCTGGTTTTTCAACAGTGCTTGCTAGCCATCAGATCACGCGAGACTATAATCCTAAATGGGCGCTTCTTCAGTGGGCTCCAAACGGTGGCCATTTGATTCATACCTCCAGTAAAGCTCATTTGACTGTGTTTGACCGCAAGTTATCCCAAATTGCTTCCATTTCAATTTACGGCGCAGAGAGAAACCTAAACCCACAAGAGCGAAACACGCTGGATGTTTTTGACACTGTTGACAATGGAAATTGTGTTTGTGCTATTGCTTTTAAGGAGGAGTCATCACTGGAAAACGCTTTTCTCAATATTTATTGTCTCAGTTTCCGAGGGTTGTTCAACTCTTTCATTTTCGACTACTCATTAAACGATCTACAGAAGTATTTTACCGTAAACCTATCTTCCTTCTACATAAATGGTGGTGTTTTCAGTATGATTTTTTCTAAAGTACATGATATTTTTGTTACCGGATCTTGTTTCGACATGTGCTCCGAAGAAATAAAGGATAGTACACAGAATGGCCTACACGCCTGGAAGCTTGTCGCCGAATCGCCATGGCTGTTAAATTTTGCTTTGAACGACAAAAACACACAGAAAATGCGAAATAAACCTTGGTTTGGTAAAGGGACTAATTCGGAACAAATTGATGGAGCATTTCGATTAATTTTGTCTGGCGATGAAAGAACAGTATTTTCCTGCAATTGGATGGGAACTGTTTCCCAATGGTCCATGCCAGGTTTGCTTTTGATTCGGAGGATGAGTGCGGTAGGCATATGCCAATCACCATTGGCTGATACTGAGGCAAGTACTTACAATCGATCGATGACCATGCTTCGAAACGATTTGCATGATTCCGTGAATAATCTGCAACTATGGGGAGATGAGGAAGTAGTCTTCATGAAGTTTTCAGGGCTTACAGATTTGCAAAATATAACCACAATGGAATCAGTAATTGGTAAATGTGAAAAGTTTCCTCCAACTTGTGAAATAACTAAGGTTTTTGAAACTGACGGTGGTCACAAAGCATTTATTGGGTTGGAGCTGGAAAAAAAAGTATCGACGATAAAAAGAAAGTTTAGATTGAGCGATTCTTCTGACAATGAAGATGACGATGATGACGACGATGATGATTCCGATGCAGAAACTCCTGAGACGTACAAACAGCAAGGATCTAGATACTTGAAACAGGGACTTTATTTCCTAACTGAAAGTGACCATTTCCAGCCTCCCAAAAAGAAGCCGAAATTAATCACCAAAACATACAGAATATTTTCCTTTCAGTCCACTACTCCTGAGGCACTCTTTAAAATAAAGCTTCAAAACGAAGAGTTCGGAGAAGCTCTAACATTGGCAAAAATGTTTAACTTAGATGCAGATCTGGTTTATATGCGACAGTGGAGAAAGTACCCGGTTTCGAATGCTACAATTCAGGACTACCTGCGTAAGATCTCAAAGCGTCATTGGATTCTAAGGGAATGTGTCAATAGAACCTCGAATGATCTAGATGCGATGAAAGCACTGTTGAATTACGGGCTGATTGGCACTGAAGTAGAAGTTGTTTTAGACATAGGCAATAAAAGTGCACAACAAGACCCTACGGTGTCAAATTTTGATCTAAGAGTTGAAGAGGATATTCTGACAGAGGACGATTACGCATTTTTGTCGCGACAAGAAGTAGCCGAGAAAAAGGCGAAGTACCGAAAAGAGAAAATTGAAGATCTTTTAACTGAGCTAGAAAAAGTTGATGCACTCAATTCAGAGCAGAAGGAAATTCTCAGAACTAGATTAAGACTGGTTCACTATTTGCACACGCTGATTCTATACGAAGAGGTTTTAGGCGGGGCTGAAAAGGCATCTCAGAAATTTTCAGCAGACGAATTTTCAGATCTTCGTGACCAAACTTGGCTGAAGACCACAATCGACTTCGCGCAAAGTTGCGATTGGCAAGCAGTAGACACGATGTTTATGCATGTAAAAGAGTTGGAGCAATACAGGTTGCTGATTTTGTCAAACTTTCCCGAAACAACCGATATCTCGGAAATCGCAGAGTTGTTGCCGTCAGTATCCGATAATGGGCGAATTAAAATTTTGTTCATGTGCGAGCAATTTGAATCTGATTGGATCGAATCTCAAATAGTGAAGAAACTTTTTGACGAAGAGTTAAAATTGAACTCGGTTGATAAAAATCAGATCCCAAAGATTTTATTACCGGAAAAATTGACCCCAGCTAGCTGTGGAGAATGGTTTAAATATAGAGCGAGAGAAATTGAAAGTTGCACTGGGTTGCTGAAGAATGCATGTGATTTGCTGAAACATGGCGTTGATAGTGAAATCCCAGGAGTGATTCAGTTAGTTACTGATATGCAGCTTCTGAATGATTTTGTGTGTGATAAACAAGCGAACATGCTGATTCAGTTCTCAGAGTTTGAAGCAATGTCCGACTTCGACAAGCTGAACGTAATAGTTCAAAGCGCAACCTCTGAAAGTATTGTGAAAGATGTTGGGAAATTTGTTAAACCTAGATTGAATACATTGAGTGGAAAGAAACACGAGGAATTATTTCGACAGCTTCTCATATCGATATCAATACAAGGTCTGGATAAATTGGTCCGAATTTTCGAAGCTTCAAAGCCAAAAACTTCAGAGCCGCTTGAAACCAACCAGTTGAGTTTAATGCGAAACGCGGTTGATTGTGTGTATAACTGTCCAAGAACTGATCAGCTCTCTCAGGCTTACGCTATCCTCAACTGTCTCCCACTGCGCTCATCGGGAAACTATGGTCCTCAGTATGACCAGGTTTTTGAGGACATTGACTCTTTGGAAATCCATTTAGAAGCAGCTAGCATTCTGAACAAATTTGAAATCTCCAAATCAGTTGTGTTTTACAAGCAAGTGCAATACGACAAGGTCGAAAGTTTAAAAATTTTGAATGAGTTAATGGCAACATTGGTGAAACAAGAACGGAAAATGAGCTCAGAAGATTGGCTGAATTTTCTAGTGCACGATTTGCTGCAATTGCAGGCAAAATTGATGAAAAAGTTGTCGGGACAGGAATGTTTCCGTATTTTTATAACACAATTACTGAGAGCAGATAATTCAAAACTGACCAAACTAGCGCTGAGGTTCATGGCGCTTTCTCAGTCTGAAAAAACAAGGGAGTTCTCATACGCAACTGCGGCCAATTTCAAACTGTCGTTCAAAGAATCGACAGAGGTTCTTTTGAACGTAGCCCAAGAGTTCGTCGACTCGGCGTCATCTGTCAATGACTCATCTCTGTTAGGCGCGGTGTCGCTTCTGAAGACAATTCACAGCCCTCCAAAGTTTATACAAGATGAGAAAGACTTCATAGAAATGTTGACGAAGCTGCAGCAGTATAGCTGTAGTTTGCTGCCGGTGGTTATCCGAGACAAGTATGATTATGAGAGTCTCGTTAAGTATGTTCTAAAGGAAAATGTAGGCGCTTATACCAATTGGACAAAAATTCTGAAGATTGCTACCCTCTTCAAATCTCCAACAAAATCTGTTTCAAATGACGAGAAGAAAGCGCGGGTTTGTGCTATAATAGCCGAAAGCGCCTTAGCCGACAAGTATATTGACCTGGCGCTAGAAATGTGTCTTCAATTAATTGACCTGAAATACAGGAAAGCTTGGACGTTCTGTTGGACTTTAGTTCAGAACGAAGAACTTAAAGACTTGGAGGTGAAGTTGAAACTATTGGCATTTACGATGTGTTACTGCGATGAACAGGTCTTGACTGATGTTGTTCGAATGAACAACCGAGTTATGATTCAAGTTACAAGCCAAAAAGTAGATGAAGCGCAGTTGAGTTCTAAATCGGAGTCGACTGTCAAACTTTTCCCTGTTTTGGGAACCTTGGAAAAAACGGGTAAGGAGTTTTTCAAGGAAACTCAAGATAGCACTCAGAAATTTTTGACGTCACAAGGTATCAGTTTCCACGGTGATACAGCCAGTGCCTCTTCGTTCAGCGATTTTGGTTTGAGAGGAATCCATTTTTTAGACACCGATCTTGTATCGGCAGAATCAATCAAAATGTTTGATCATGAGATCGCTGAGCCCAGCCAATGTTTCAAACAACTAGTTGAAAGACCGTACTGGGATGTTGCCAACGAAGAAAACGATTCAGAAACTCTTCAAAAATCCTTACTGGACTGTGCCTTAGAGTGTTTCGATGTGGATTTGACTCTCAGTCTTTTCTTCCTTCTGGCTTGTAACAGCGAAGCATCCGTAGACTCTATGAAATCAAAATTGCCTCAAAACGAAAGAAGCTCAAGTTTCCTACTTTTAGCCTACACATTGCTAAGAAAAACGAACGATAGTAGCAGAGACTTCGATGTGATTGAAATGGTAAATAAGAAACCTTACGATTTGATCAATTCTGAAGTGAATGCTTTAAAAACAGAGTCGGAAAATTGTTCCAGTCCAGTTTTAAAGGCCCTTGAAAAACTACAATCATTAGTCGAGGCTTCGAAACTGGGCCAATTAGTTTCAGAAGTTGACACCTCGAGATTCTCGACTGACGAAGAGTACAAAACGAGTACAATTTTAGGCTTGGCTGCCAATACTGATCCGAAGTTAGTGGCACTCTCTTTAGAATTAGCTGAGCGTCATAAAGTAGATGTGTATAAAGTCAGACTACATACCCTTCTTCACGTTTTGACAGATAGCAAATACAGAGTAAATGACATTAAACGACATCTGAAAGAAATGAACTTGATAGAAGACCTCAAGTCGAAACCGGAAGATGTCGTGAAACTGTTGGAGACAGAAGTTTTGCCACTAATTCATCCGTCGGATTTTGAAAAATTGAAAGTTGTTTTTGAAATCTTGAAGTCTGGCAATGTAACAGAGTCTAGATTGTGCCAGAAAGCCGAATTGCATATCGAAGTTTTGACAGCCACTCAAAAACTTGCTCCTAGTTTACCATACAAAGATCTCATTAAAGTTGAAAATGACTGTGATTTGAACGAGCTGGTCTCGAAGTATTGCACACAGAAAAATTTCACCGAACTGTCTCAAACTCTAGCAAAAGTTCCAAACACTGCAAAGCCGATTAGCCGCAGCAAAATTCTCTATTTCTATTCTAGTAGGCTATTTTATGAGCTCGAACACAAATCAAGCAATGAATATGGCGACCTTATCAATAGCGTGAAGTCCTGCATTGATCTAATGCAACTTGAAGATGTTCAACATACTGCGAATTTAGTTGCTTTCCAAGAAGATGATATAAGAGTTACTGACCTTCCATCGGTTTTGGCACTGGTCCGAAAGTGCTTAGCAGTTTGCAGGAAAAGTAAAAAGAAATCTGCTCATTCTGAAACTATTCAAAATGTGGAACAAATTTTTGAAGAAATTGAAAAACTAAACAACGCTCCTTTCATGAACAAATGGTTTGCGAGTGACAATGAAATAAAACGTAGTGCGGCTAAGGCTTTTTGGCTTTCAAGAGGCGACATTGAAACTCAAAAGGAAGTTTTGATGGGTTTGGTACTCGCACAGATACCTTTTGAAGCCATAAGCGAAGCCATGAAATCCTTGAAAGTCGGATTTGAACTGACTGAGGTGATTGAAAATGTCATGAGCCGATGCATGGAGGATATTGCAATGTGTCAAAATATAGAACTGGTTGAAACTTCAAAGCCATTAGTCAGTGTTCTGACCAATGTGAAATCTCACTTAAATTCGGAAGACGAAAAGAGTTGCGCGGAAATAAGCGAGGGGAGAATCATTGCTAAATTACGAGAAGTCACATCCATTCCTAATTTGTCAACAGAAGCGAAAATTTTCATTTTAGAAAGAATCGAACATCTGTTTAATTTGAACGAACAAGACTTGAAATCATTGCTCCACGCTAGAACTAGAAATTTGATCGGAAGTTTGTTCTCGGAAAGTGTTTTCACAGAAGATGATCTGAGTTCTGAAAGTGGCCGTTACGATTTGATCTGTGATTTACTGGACTGCAGCGTAAACTCAGCCCAGTTTGCGAAGTTGGTTGAATTGATCGACGCTTGGCCAGCGTTCAAAAGCTACCCTGGAAACCAGCACCCTCTTGTAGCTGTAGCATGCAAATGGATCCAAACTGATTCTAAAGAAGCGATGCAAACGCTCAAGAAGGTCGTGGAATCGAAATTATCTGATTTTGCAGTGAAGCAGTGCTTTGCATCGGTGGTAGATTTTTGCCTGGACTCAGGAAACGAGGAGTGCGCTGTTGTCTTTGGACTGCGGTTGAAAACATCAACAGGTTTCCTGTTGATTTTGAACTCATTAAATTGGAGGTTTTCGGCTTGAAGTTTTCGGCTTTTACAGAATATGAAAAAAAAGCTATGTTCGCAACCCGGTCGGGTTTTTCTCAAAAGAAAACATCAATTTTTGTCACAATTTTTGGCCAGTGGTCGACGATTTTTATCATTGACAACAGCGCTGCAACTGGGTTTTAGGCTTTTTTGGTTAAAAACTTTTGGTTCACAGAACTCTTCTTCTTCGGGTGGTGAGAGTTGTAAATAATAAAGTAATATTGTTTCAGCTCACTTGGATAAAATTGTGGCCATTCTGAATGGAGCTGAGATACAATTCGAGCTACCACAAGACAGTTTCGAAGACGTAATTGAGGCAAATCTACTGCCCAAACTCATGTCCTCCAAGTATTACTCTCTCATAACGGATCACGTGATAGAAGAGCAAAATCAGTCTCTCATGCAAAAAGTGATAAATCAGTTGAACTCCAGAGACCTGGAAATAGAGGCCGCCGACTTCTGGGGAAGATACTCAGACAGTCATCCGACGTTTAACACAGTGGTGTCGGCAGTTGGCTTTTTAAAAAACTGGTTCAAGTCATGAGTTTCAAACAGGCAGGGAAATTGGTGATTTATAACTTGAGGTATCATGAAAAAATAAGTTCGTTAATGCGCTGTATATAAATGTTTAGACATGTACTTCAAATTGGTGCTGGAAGCTAAATAATTAGTAAAATATTAGCTCTCGTAATGAGATTTCCTTAAAATGGATAACAAACAAAAGATTCACATGCCTTGGGGAATCGTAGATAATCTATCAAAAGTGCAAATTTCATCCATCTGGTAAATTTATTGATAATGTTGGTTTTCAGATATTGACCATATTTGTAGTCTTATGTGTGAATAATGCCTGGAGGCGATGAGTTCAGAGTAGGATCAAAGGTCGAAGTAATCGGCAAAGATCTCCGAGGTGTCGTTGCATTCTGCGGACTGACAAGTTTTGCAACCGGAAAATGGATTGGAGTAGTTTTAGATCATCCGAATGGCAAGAACAATGGAACTGTTCAAGGCAAGACTTACTTCTCGTGTCAAGATAACTACGGAATATTCGTTCGGCCGAATCAGCTTTCTCTTTTGGAGGACGCTTTGCCGCCCCCGTCAACGCCGTCACGATCAACACAATCGAAGCTATCAAAACCGACAAGTGCGCTAAAGCCTCCTAGTTCGAGTCTGAAGCCACCACGATCGTCCGCTAGTAGCACCTCTCTCTCCAAATCGACCAGTCAGGTGTCGCTGACTGCTTCAGACGCTGGAGATTCAAAGCAGGTTGCGAAAGAAGACAAACAACATGCAAAAACTCAGGAGACGCCTGCGCCACCGGTGAAACAAGAACCAGAGGAACCCCCCGAATCTGTTATCCTGCCTCCGGAAATGCCTAAGTTCGGTAGCGCGACGACAGATGCTGCACTTGTAGCCGAGAATGAGAATTTGCGAGCCCAAATACAAGATCTAACCGAGAAATTAAACACTATCAAAGTGAAACGAGCAGAGGATCGAGATAAATTGAAAGATTACGGCGCATTGAAAATGCAAGTGAGCATGATTCCCGAGTACAAATCGAAGTTAGCCGAGTTGCAGAAAGAATTGCAGACGACGCAGAAAAAAGCAGAAGAGGCGGCGGCTAGTTTCAATGCAAAAATCGAGGAGTACCAGGACGTTGGAGATACCCTGGAAATGTTGACCCTGGACAAGGAAATGGCGGAAGAGAGGTGTGACACATTGAAGTACGAAAACGAGACTCTTATTTTGAGAGTGAGTGAGTTGGAATCTGATTTGAAGGTCATTAAGGAAGAGATTCAGTCGAAGGGGACAGAAGGCGTGGCTTCTGATTATGAGTACAAGCAGTTGGAGGCACAATGTACACGGCAAAAGGAAGCTTTGCTGAGACTTCGTGAACTGATGGCGGAACAGAATGCAGTCAAAGACGCCTTTGAAAAAGACCATAAGAGGTTGGAAGCTACAGTGGCTGCCTTGACGGCAGAGAAGGAAAAGTTAGCGAGTGAGAAGAAAGTGGCTGAAGAAGAATCATCTAACTTGAAAGAATCGGTGGACGCTGCGTTTGGATCGGAAAAAATGATTGAAATGCTGACTTCGAAGAATTTGGAACTGGAAGAGAAATGTTCACAACAAGAGGAAAATATTGCTGAATTGGAAGAGTTGATGGAAATGAATAATGAAATTGAGGAGAACTTCAAGCAAACAGAGCAGGGGCTGCGGGAAGATATCGACATGAAAGAATCGGAGTTGAGAGCTCTTAGTACGAAAGCGGACCACTTAACTGCAGTTGTGAACGATAGAGAAAACACTATTCTCAAATTCCGAAATTTGGTGCAACAGCTCAAAGAGGAAATAGAGACTCTAAAAGCTAGTCAGAGTGAAAATGCTGCAGAAGAATCTGGAAAAGGCGCGGATGAAATGAAAGTAATTTCTCCTCAGTCTTTCTCGCAGCCGGTTCCGCTACCCTCTGCGCTCAACGCGGAGTTGAAGGCAAAACAAACTGCACAAATAGTAGTAAAGTCACTAGAATGTGAACTGAAGGATCTCGAACTTAAAGGCCTCGAGGACAATTTATCCTTCGTTTTATCTTATTTGCCAGATACTTTTTCGAAGTCGGCCGGTGATTTGGACTGTATACGAGCTTCTATTTGTCTACCTAGGATGAGTGAAAAAATTAAGCTGTTGATAAAATACGCCAAGCAAAAAAACGGCGCCGTTGAAGAGAGTCTAAGTTCGTCTTCGGAACCAAAGAAACCTTCGGACGCCTCTGAAAGTCCTTCTTTTGCCGTGAACTTGTCAGTCAAATTGCTCAGTTTGAAAGTTCTGCTCGATCAAGTGTCTTTCATTTTGAACTCCTGTTCAGTAGAAAAATTTCTGCGTGTGGGCTCTGTGTACCCGGAAATGCTGGCACACGAGAAATCAGTGGAGGCTTTGATAAATCTGTTCAAAAAGGACCAATTAGATCACACTTGTCGCTTGGACAGTATCTCCAGAGCACAGACATTCTTCGAACAACTGCTGAAAGCTGTGTTTGCTGGAGAGAAAACGAATTTATCCGAAGTGTTTCATAGCTATATTGAAATTTTACAGGAAAGCGCGCAAGTAATTAACTTGAGCTGCGAGAAAGTTAGTTCTTATCTGAACCCAAATCTAGAATTCGATGACTTCTTAATGTACCTCAAAGAGACCATTCAGTTTAGCCAAGACATCAAAAAAGTAGCGAGGAAAACGAAGCGACAGTTTCCTTCGGCGGAAGGCCGGACGTTCAAGGTAACGATAGAGCAAGTAGCAGAAATGCAAAGTTACGTGGAAATGATTCGGCCTTACGCGTATGTGTTTTACGAACTAAGTCGGGAAACGGAAATTGCTTCGTCTGTTTTGAACGAAGGGGAATTTATTTCGAGTGAGCGATTGGCAGAATTGAGAGACCAGTGCATGACCGACGCGAATCAATCGTACGCCGCTATGAAGCCGGTTCCGACTAAAGTCCAAAAATACATTGAACATATTTGTACTCAAGCTGAAGAAGGCGATTTTGAGGAAGTCGACGTGTCACAATATCCCCAGCCGGTTTATCAGCACGCCGAACAAACGAAAGCCGAATTGGCGAACCAAACTCGGACCGCGGAAGACGCCGATATGAAATCAGCTGAGTTGAAGGAAGTTAAAATCAAACTTCGTCAGAAAGAAGAAGAACTTGCGAGCATGAATGTTAAGATAGATCTCATTGAGCAAAAGTCAAAAACGGTACCAAAAGCGATGGAGGAAAAAATGCGTGTGCTGAAAGAAGAAATCGAAAAAGGCAAGCAGGAGTTAGAAAACTGTAAACGGACGCATGCTATAACCTTGAATGGCCTGGACCAGGAAATTAAGGAGCTGGAAACAACTAACAAAGAACTGAAGTCGAAAATTAATGCTGTTTCTATGCGTGGTTTAGTAGGAGGTCTTTCGAAGTACGCAACGAATACAGCTTCAAAGGAAGAAACTTCAGTTAAAGTTGTTGACTCGCCTCTGCTCAGAGACGAAATTTCGTCTCTGAGAAACGCATTGAGGTTCTCACAACAGGAAGTATGGCGCATGCGTGGCGAAAAAATGAGGGCTCAGCTAGCGAAATTGAAACCTTTGAGGGTCCCAGAGAAGCCTATTGGCCTGCAAAGTCAGACCGGGTTCGTCAAGTTGGACGGAGGTGACAAGGCCTCGACTTTGGGATCCCTGACACGTCAAGCATCGGCTTTAGTTTCGGAGTTGGACAGACTATGTGTGAGTCCTCGAGTGGTGGATATTACGAAGAGAAAGGCGGGAACTGTGCCTACCGTGGACAAACTGTCTTCGGTGCAGCAGCTGGTGGCCATGAAAACTCATCATTTGAAAGTGCAGAATAAGCTGGAAACGCTGAGAGAAAAGGTAGGCGAACCTTTTTGGCTTTCTTTCTTAAAACTTTTGTGCTAACTTTTCTAAATGCGCCTACTTCTCTTAAAAGTGCTAATTTTTCGAGAAGTGCTACCTTTTTTCCAAAGGTTTGATGAAAAAAGATCTAAATTCTGAAGAAGTTGGCAAGCGATTGAAATTTTTTTCTAGATTCTGTCGTGGCAGCCGGAAACTGATTTTGGCTGGTCAAATTAGGTTATAAACTGTTAGGTATTTTTAATTTCTCAATTCCAGGTGCTGAATTACACCGCAGTTGAATATCCAGCCAAGAATGGAAACATGGCCAACCCTCAGAATTCTCTGTTCGCAGACCGGGAAGAAATTAAGAGAATCAAAGGCAACCTCAACCCGAATCTAATCGCGAAAATTGAATTACCGTCGAAGTCATCGCAAATTACTGACTCTACTAAAGTCTTTTTAAGCAGAGAGCAATTCTTCGAGCTACATCGATCGTTGTTCAGACCAGAATGAAATAAAAACGGGCTCGCAAGTTGTTGGGGGAAAAGCGGTGATTTTGTACAAGTCTGTTCAGAAGTCAGAATAAAGTAGAAAAAAAATCAGATATCTGATTTCTAGTTTTGCGTGTTAGTTCTCTCAACAAGAATCTAAAAGCTATCATAGGTGTTGTTCATTTTAGATAAATTTTGCTCTTTCAATTACAAATTATATGCCTGAAAAGGTTATTTTTTCTGACCTGAGTTGTACAGATTCATTCCTCATTATTTTGAAAACTCGATTCGAAGGTGGTGTTAGTTAAATTGTAGGAAATGAGGGTCCTTTAATTATGCTTTGTTTGGGTAAAATTAATTGCAAATAATTAACAATTACTTTACTTAAGTTTTTAAAAAGTATTCTTTCAAATGTCATTAAGTGTAGAAGAACGAAGTGATTTTCTTTTATAAAAGTCTTGATGATTGAAATTTTTTTAACCCTGGCGATAAGCAAGGGTATTCCAACCGGGCACTAGACTTTTTCTACGTAAATAACTTGTTCACACAATGGTAAATATTAAGAAAGAAGTTTGAAATGGTAAATTTTAAAATATGCAGCCTATTTGTATTGCCTCTACAGGGCTTGCATATTTTTGACTTTTTTTGAAATTACTTTGGCTGTATGTCAGTTTATTAAGTGTCGGCTTGTTTACCTATAGTTTTTACCCTTGTCTGTGCTTGCGATATTTTTTTCACAAGGTGTGTCGAAGTTTAAAATCACTTCTCCGACCTTGTTTGAAAAATGTAAGGAAAAATCATGAACAAATTTTTGAAATTGTTTGCTACATTTTTTTCTCTTTTCAATAAAGCTTCGTTCGGATATTTTCCTCAATACTTCTTGAAGGGCCTGCTGTTCTTATAATATCCTTTTTAGCGAAAGTAAATTAACTCATGAGTTTTTTCGCAGTTTTCTTGGTATAATTTCCAATCAGTTTTTTGTCAATTGATTTTTATTTTGCTTTAATTGCTTTCGAGTCTATTTGTTTTTGCAGAACGATAACTTCTTTTACCTAGAGGTTCGGTTTAAGGAGGGCTTTAAATGCTATCGGATCACAATTCACCTTTAAATATATATATATATATATATTTTTAATATAGCTCGTAATTTTCAGAATTTGCTCTTTTCAAAACAACAAATCTATTATTTTTTTAAATGCGGGTTTCTCTATCTCACCATGTTTAAGCTTTTTCAACGTAATATTTTTGCATGTTAAACAAAAGAATTTTTGCACCTTTAAGCTATATCGTATATCTCAATTGTTAAGATTTTTTTTCAATTTTCCAGCTTGAATTCAGTGTTTAGTTCAAGTTTCAAATTAGCAACCCAATATTGGGATGCTGTCAGGGTTTTCCTAGGGTTACGGATTCTGACCTCCATAAATGATTAACCCGATCCTTTCAGCTTACGAGATGCGGCACTTTTCACAAATTTCAAGAAAAATTAATCTGAAAAGTTTTCTCATTTTTTAAAAATTCTCACTCTGTAGTTGAATGTTTTCAGAGTACTACCAGAAATTGCGCATATTGCCTCCAAATCTCACTTTTCAAATCTCTGCAGTTTTCGAGATATCACGTTTTTTTCATGATTTTTTCAAATTCAAATTTCGACATTGGATCCTGTTGAAGATCTCAATCGTGTTGTTGGAAGCTGTGAGGGTACTCTCAGGGTTGCGAATCTTGCCTCTGAGCTAGTTTTTCGCTTTTTGCCGTTTTCTCGCTTGTGTTTGCGAATGGCAACTTTGCATCTCTGTATACTTGTTTTCATTTGGCTAATTTGATTTTCACAATTGTAGTTCTAGCTTTACTTTCCTCAAAGTGAAGTTCATTTGAGTTGAAAGCATAAATTTGGTTGATATTGTTTTTTGGCTATTTTTGTGTCGTATCAAAAGTTCTACGAAGCCCCGCTACACCTCTGTGTCGAAATTTTAAAATAGTTTAGGTGAATTATTTTTTTCTATTGCGAAGTAAAAAAAATTGTTCGCCAATCATTTTTCAGATTTCGTTGAGATCATTATCACGTTTCAAACTTTATGCTGGCCATAATCTAATTTTTCAGGATTTTTGCTTACGCTTGTGTAATAACAAGTTTACTTTTTCCAAATTAATTCGTCTTTTATCTCATTCCTTTAAGTGTAAAACAACGAAATGAATTTAACTTCTATCGGTCATGATGATGATTATTTTTGGTTTTTTTTCTGCAATAAGTCCTAAAATTAGTTTGATCATTTCATTTTCTGCGGTGTAACTTCTGATTTTTTTAAGCTCACTTTATTTCCCCATTTAAAGGAAGGCAAACTCCACTATCAACAGCTAACGTGTGAAGTGAACGAAAAACGTGATAGACTTCTATTTTCAAAAATGGATTCCCTGCGGAATAAATTTTTATCTATTGTTGCAGTATTTTAAATTTAAAAATCTTTTTTTTTAAATATTTTAATGTGATCTGTTTTTGTCTATCTATGGTTTTGTCCTAAAATGTTTAGATGCTTTCAATTTTGGGGAGATTTTTTCCATTCGCTAATTTTGTTTTCGCTTCTCTTTGGATCAAACTACCGCAGTCTAGCCCCATTTTGTTATCATGAAATAGTGAAATAGCTAGCGTTGCAGCTTTTAATCAGTTGCGCTTCAACTATGTTGTTTATTAAGAGCCGATGAACGTATTTCAGACTCTTATATAGGTAGAGATGATTTTTTAAGGAAAATTCTTAAAGTAAGTTCAGGCTAAGAAATTTTTACTTTTTCGCTGTGTGACTTTTGATTTGTTTTTAAATTCAGTTATTTTTTTATAAAAGGAAGCCATACTCCTCTACCGAACAGCGAAACTGTAATGGTACTGAAAAACGTGATCGGCTTCTAATTTCGAAAATGGAATTCAATTATCAGATTTTATCAGAAAATCAAAGAGGCTTTAACCCATCTTTTTAAGAATAATGAACGTAGTGAGTACTCTTATATAGGCCTTGCTGATTTTAGTTTGTTTTTTTTTAGGAAAAAGGTAATTTTTCGCGGTTTGACTTGCTATTTTAAGCTCAATGCATTTCCATTGTTAAAAGGAAGGCAAACTCGACTATCGAACAGCAAAAGTATAAAGATCACGAAAAACTTGATTGTTTTCTGATTTCGAAAATGGATATTAAATATCAGATTTCCCTGCGAAATAAAAGTTTTGCCTATTGATCCAGTTTTCTCACATTTGGTTAATTTAACCAAAAAAGTGTCCATCGATAATTTTTCTACAGATTTAAAGAGTTTTACGGCCATTTAATTTCTTCGAAATGCGAAATTAGAAGGTTTTTGAGAAAACAAGTGTTTTTTTTTTCATTTTCCTTGCGTTCATTACTCTTTTCCAATTGTCAGTTGGCTATGTTTTTCTTGGAAATTGAAAGTTGAGATTTGTTTTAAAAACAAGTCAGTTTTTTGTTTACTTGTGTTCATTGTTTCTTTTCAACTGTCTGTTGGCTGCGTTGTTTATCAGTTTCAATGAATGAAGTGAAGATACTAATTTAATTATGGTTTTTGTAGGAAATATTGTTCTCGCTCAAATCGGATTTTTGACTTGTTTTCTTTACGCTTCAAGTTTCTTTACTTCTCCGGAACGCTTGCTCTTGAGGTAATGACTAAGAATGGGAATGATGAGGGCCTAGATAAGATTCCGGCCAGGACCTGTTTTTTTTAAATTGAAATTTTTCAGTTTCAAAAACTATCGGGCTTTCGTTATTCTGTGTCTTAAGTTCAATTCAAATGATTTTGATAACTCTAAGGCTCATCATGCTTATTTTTAAAGAGCTTTAATTTGGTGTTTTTTTCTTTCAATTCGGAAGTTACAAGTGATTAAAAAAACAATCAATCTTTATTTTTCTAGCTTCCGTGTTCATTTTCTCTTGGCTGTTTTTCGCCAATATTTACTAATTTTGAGGGGGAGCGCGCGCCAAAAAAAACGTAATTTTTTTGGTCCTAGTTTCCCAAAAAGTGCCTAAAAATCCAGTTTTTGGCCTGAAAGTTTGACCAAAACAGGGTCTCTTTAAGCTTTGGGACAGCTCGGAAAATCAATTTGATGAACCTAAAAAAATGTTATACAAATTTTTTGAAAATCCCCTCCCCTCTCGAAAAAATCCTCGATCCGCCTATGTATAAGCAGGTTATGTTATAAAGGTGTTTCGTTTATAAGAGTCGATGACCGCAGCTCAGACTCTCTTATAAGTCGCGATGTTTTTGCCAGGAAATTATTAAAAATTTGTTCACGCTCAAATTTACTTTTTCGCGGTTTGGCTTATGATTTATTTTTAAGTTCTGATCATTTTTTTGTTAAAAAGAAGGCAAACTCCACAATCCAATAGCAAAAGTTTTAAGATCATGAAAAACATGATCGACTTCTAGTTTCGTAAGTGAATTTTAATTTTGCGATTTCTTGGCGGATTAAAAAAAGTACCTATTGAGCCAGTTTTTTCAGTTGGGTCAGTTTTCTCAAAGAGCTTTGAAATTAATCTATTTTTTCGTTGAAATTCGAAATTTGGATTTTTCTCTTGTTTTGTCTTTGAGCTAGATCTATTTTTACAAGTTTAATTCGCCGTTTTTGCCTAGATAGCTTGTCATCTACAAAGTTGAAGTCGATTGTTGGTGAAAGAATCATTTGCAACTGAAATAAATATTTCGCAGTAATTCAAAGCGTTTTAGTACAAATATAAAAAGGTTACATACTGCTGTTTAAGGCGCTTTTACCAATGAACACCTGTTTTGCAGTTCTCTAAATTTCGAGCTTCAAATGAAATATTCAAAAGATGAATGGGAGTGGAAAAGGGAAGGGGAAGTAGAGGGGTGTGATGAGTGAAATGAGTGAGAAAGTGCAAAGAGAAGAGTCTAGATATAATATTGCAGAATTATTAGGATGTTTTTCCCTGGTAGAGTTCTTCTCTCTATATAATTAGTTCATTTAATTCGATTTTCTTATGGGTTGTTTTTGACCAAGCGAACTCAATAACTGTTGGCTAGTTTTTTGGATTGCATCCAACACATAAAACCTTGTTTAAGCTTTGGGAGCATGTTATCGCTCTTGGTGTGTTTTCATGCTGATGTTGCGTGGTTCGCATCCATCACAGATTGTTGGTGGCAATTGTCGTCTTGGCCAAGTAGGGATGCACCTCAGTGCATGATGGGTATGCGGCATCGATGATCTGTTCGAACTCCCCCTCACTAGCTCCAATTCTCCTCTGCATTTTAACAGACAATTGGCTCACATCTTCGTCTAACTGGCGCAGGATGTTGTGAACGGTCTGCTGGAATTGCATGATGGCACAGTCGAAGTGCTGTAACAGACATGCTCTGTTAAAGCTTAGAGGCTCTTTCCATAAGCTCGAGAAAGCGGTGAAAATTCTATGAAAAACCGTTCACGCTCCTGCGAAAATGTTAATCCTCACCTTGGTTCTTTACGCTTGTAGCTCCCCCGTCAACTTATACGCTACCCAAACAAAAAATCACTGCTTTGAGGCTATTTTTTTATCAGCTTAAACATTAAATTAGGATGGGCGCGATTATCAGAAGACGCTTTGACATTCAAATTGAAACAGTACTTTTTCTTATCCATCGATTTTCTGTAGCAAATGTACCCACCCTAACTAGTAAAAGCATAAAAGCAGGCTAAATGGGCACATGCTGCCTAGTTGTGTGCGCAAGAATTCTTAGGCCAAATCTCGTGTTTAAGAGTCAATGAACGTAGTTTTTTTTTTAGGAAAAACTCTTATAGTTTGTCGCGCTCAAATTTGATTTTTTGCGGTTTGACTTATGTTCTTCTCCTCTTGAATTATCGGTATCTGGTGTTAAACTGACAGTTTGAGGCTATGAAGCAGTTGTGAAAAGATTAGACTCGCTTATTTTCGAAGCTTCCTTACCTATGTTGGAATTTTCTTGCAATCGTAAAGCTCCCTTTAAAGCTTGAAAGTTGAGCACGACGCTCGAATGACAAGCCAGAGTTCCTCTTTCGGCCTTTTTTGCCTGTTTTTTTTGGACCAAATATGGTTTAATACTTGATCTTAGCCTCTCAATTAAGTTGAGATCAGAAGAAGTGGGCGGCCGAACCATTAATTGTGGCCCAAGTTGGCCAATGTTTGCTAGATACGGCATGGTCGAGCCGGCAGCAATTAAAAGAATATGTTTGCTTGCAAGAAAGTTACAGTTTGTCAATTCGTTATAGGAGGTCAAATCAGGACTCAATTATCGGCTTGAAAAAAATGGGACTTTTTGATGGCATTCAATTTCATTCCGTGTTTCACGCGACGTGTTCCGGAAAGATGGTTATGATATGTATTATCATTACGTCCCTTGTTGCCCTCTCTCTTTGACAGCGGCCTGATCTAACCAGCTCCTCGAAAATAACCTGTGCCTTCTAGTCTAGCTTGACACTCATCTATAAAATTGACTCGACGAAAATTAATTCTTCAGGTTGTTTTTTGTTGTTAATCTTGCTTGACGTTTTTTTTCCGGTTGGAAGATTGCTTGTGCGCTACATGAACCGTTGCAATGATAGAGAAAGTTTTGCACGTAGACGGGGGATTCTTTTGAGTACCTGTGTTTTGAAACATTGCATTGCTAGCTGCCAAGGGGCGTTTTTTGCATTGCTAGCTACCAAGGAGTCGTCTAGTGTAGTTCGACATTTATTACCCTTGCGATAAGCAAGGGTATTGCAACCGGGTAATAATCTTTTTCCCCCGTACAACTTTATTCACAGACTTCAGCTTGCAATCAGTGCACGTCCACCGCATACGCCATATGCATGCTGTATGTGTGTCCTTTTTTGCTCATTGGTCTATTCATCCCTTAGTAGTGTTTTTTTTCGACAATTTTGCTATCGAAAATTTTAAATGAAAATTCTTTGTTATATTTCGATTTCGTCGTTTTCGAATTTTTTGAGGCTCATATAATTCATAATAATCCAGAAAATTATTTTTGCAATTTTTGACTTGACTGTGATGTATACGAAAGAATGTTTCGACTGTCGCGCGATATTTATGAGTATGGTTCTTTGTGGCTGACATTTTTTGGGGAAAAGAATTTTCGTATTTGTATTTCCGAAACGGGCGTCTATTTTTTGTTTTGATCCAGCGGTCGCCAGTCAACTACATATTTGATAAGTTTGATGTAATAGGGTTAATCAAATTTATCAGTTTCTGTAGTCTTCTAGAGACTTTTTTTTGGATTTTCTCAGTTCTTTTTGTTGTGGCAATTGTTTGAAACGTTTGCATTCATTTTGTTAAATTTCATTTTTCAATTGTGTGTATTTATTCTGATTTTACTTTATAGTAAACAACGGATAGGCCCTTTTGGTATCCCCAAGTTTTCCTGAAAGACATGCAGGTAGTTTGGTTGCATAATTTTAAGTTTATGAAATAATTTTAGCCTAATTTTGAGTTTTTTAACCCGAATGTTATGTTTTTGAATTCTTTGAGAGTTTGTAGCGCACAGTTTCTTTGACAGAATTCAATAGTTTTTCTATTTTTTAGCCGCTTCATCTTTTGAACTGATGCATTTTTTTGTATCACAAGTGTTGCGGAGCTCAGCTTCGCCTATGTGTGTACAGAAATATCACGGCGAAATTAACTTGTTTATTTTCGCTCATTGTTATTTCTGTTTTTAAACAAGTTAGTAATTTTCAATTTGCTGTAAGTTAATGCCTTTAAGCATGCTGATTTAACCATTTGCTCGACTTTTTTAGGTCAAAAACTTGTCAGCAAGAAGTAATTTTGAATCTGGAGTGCTTTTGCACTTTTTTCCTAAATCAGAAAACTTTAAATATCAATTGTTTGTTTTAAATCGTATTTTTGACCTATGAAAATGCATTAAGTAACAGTAGAAAATAAATAGATTATCTGATTATGATGTACACCACCAAATGGTGGCAGTTTTTTTGCATAATAGTTTCCGAGGACTATGGTGGTAGAGAAATTATAACCAAATTAGTTCAGTGACGAATCTGAAAATGTCCAATGATGCAAACATTTTGTCATTTATATCCTTTTTTGGCCGGTAAAAGGCTGATTTTGATATACAGTTCAAAAATTGATCATTTATTGGGTCAATTTTTGCTGAACTTTTTACACCGAAGACTTTAGTCAAGGTGTTATGGTATCGTGTAACGGGGGGTTTTTTTTAATGTTGTCTGTTGTCAAGTGTCGACAAATAACGTCCACAGTTATCAATTATCATGTGGGCTGGACTATATCGCGCTATGTCACGTGATTGCGTATGTTTGTTTCTTTATTTGTTCATCTTTATTTATTTAATTATCTGTTCTTCTATTTATTTAATTATGTTTAGTTTGCTTATATTTATTTATAATTTATGTATGTACATATTTATTTTTGTTTATTTTTATCACGTGTTTTTTTTATTTATTTAATTATTCTTTCTTTCATTTAGTTTTGCTTTTATTATTTCTGCGTGTGTATTTATTTAATTTATTTATTTTCATTTATTTATATTATGGGTCTGTTTGTTTGGTTATTTGTTCATATATTTTTTTTCATGTCTATTTAATTATTTGTACATTTCACTTTTGCTTTTATTTATTTATTTATTTATTTATTTATTTATTTATTTATGTATTTATTTATGTATTTATTTATTTATGTATTGATTTATTTTTTTATTGCTTATTTATTTATCAGGTGTGTTTTGTTTATTTGTTGATATTTATTTCTATATTTATTTAATTATTCTTTCTTTCATTTAGTTTTGCTTTTATTATTTATGTATGTGTATTTATTTCATTTATTTATTTTCATTTATTCATATTATGGGTCTGCTTGTTTGGTTATTTGTTCATATATATTTTTTCATGTCTATTTAATTATTTGTACATTTCACTTTTGCTTTTATTTATTTATATATTTATTTATTTATGTATTCATTTATGTATTTATTTATTTATTTATGTATTGATTTATTTTTTTATTGCTTATTTATTTATCAGGTGTGTTTTGTTTATTTGTTGATATTTATTTCTATATTTATTTAATTATTCTTTCTTTCATTTAGTTTTGCTTTTATTATTTATGTATGTGTATTTATTTAATTCATTTACTTTCATTTATTTATATTATGGGTCTGTTTGTTTGGTTATTTGTTCATGAGATATATATTTTTTCATGTTAATTTAATTATTTGTAAATTTTGGTGTATATATGTGTTAGTAAGATTTTTAGTTCTACAACGTTTATTCAGGCTCTTTGTCGATATAGCAAAATATTGGTGTATACATGTGTTAGTACGATTTTAGCTCTAGAATTGTTATTTCAGGCTCTTCGTCAATATAGCAATATTTTAGCGTATACATGTGTTAGTACCATTTTTAGTTCTCGAACTGTTATTTTATGATCTATGTCAATATATCAAAATTTTAGTGTATACATGTGTTATTACGATTTTTAGTTCTCGAACTGTTATTTCATGATCTTTGTCAATATATCAAAATTTTATTGTATACATGTGTTAGTACCATTTTTAGTTCTCGAACTGTTATTCCATGATCTTTGTCAATATAGAAAAATTTTGGTGTATACATGTGTTAGTACGATTTTTAGCTCTAGAACTGTTATTCCATGATCTTTGTCAATATAGCAAAAATTTGACGTATACATGTGTTAGTACGATTTTTAGCTCTCGAACTGTTATTTCATGATCTTTGCCAATATAGCAAAATTTTGGTGTATACATGTGTTCGTACGATTTTTAGCTCACGAACTGTTATTTCAGGCCCTTTGTCAATATAGTAAAATTTTGGTGTATACATGTGTTAGTACGATTTTTAGTTCTAGAAGAGTTATTTTATGATCTTCGTTGATATATCAAAAATTTAACCTATACATGTGTTAGTACGATTTTTAGTTCTAGAACTGTTATTTCAGGCTCTTTCTCGATATAGCAAAATTTTGGTGTATACATGTATTAGTACGATTTTTTGTTCTAGAACTGTTATTCTTCAATTATTAGTTGTTCAAGTTGTTTGGTTTTTGCTTCAGTTTCTATGCCTTCGGTGTATTGCGCGTAGCGCCTATGTTGATAAAACTTATTTAAGCAAAGGTATTACTTGCGCCTTTTTTTAGCTAAAGTTGACTTTATCGAGGCAAAACGTGCTGACAATATAATTGTTTTAAATAAGAGGTGTACTGCTACTTAAGCGTTTAATTAACCCAAAACTTATGTTCTGTATAGACAGCATCCTGTATCGCAAATTTTTATGAGGCAGTCGATTTAAACTTGGATTCGGGGCTAAGGTTTACACCGCAGAACTGTTAGGGCAATATTAGACGGTGGGTTCTTCAAGAAAAAGAAATCTAAGACCAAGCTTAAAAAGCTTGGTTTTCTGCTCTGGATTCGACGGATCTTGTTATTTATCCCCTCCCCTATTGCAATTGCAATAAGGGGGAAATAGTTAAGATCCGTCGTCGAATCCATATACGAAAGCATATACGACTTTTGTACCTTGTTAACTATTCCCACCCTTCCCCCTATTGCAATAGGGCGGAAATAGTTAACAAGGTACAAAATTCGTATATGCTTAACTGTTCAATTCTTTCTTTATAGGGGGTATTTTCGTTACAAGGTACCATAGGGGAGGAAATAGTTATCAAGATCCGATTCGACTAACACATTTTTATTTTATCTGAATCAGTTCTTTTCTTTGAATTTCATATTGGCTTGTGTTTTCACGCTTTTCTTTTGGAGTTTCTGCTTGTCAAATCCTGCTTTCTGGTTGTGGTACTGCAAAAACGAAATTACTACTTAATTGTTATCTTACCGACTGCGGAATAGAGGTAATGCACTTGTGCTCTTGTCTGAATGTCGCCCATGACTCATACTCTCTTACGTCATCGCTACCGACTTCGTACTGCTCACTTCCCGCCAACTCCTTTCGACTTGGCAGCAGCTTCTCGCTGACGTCATTTTCTAGGTTACCGTATAAGGTAACTGCTCGTTCAGTCTGCCACCATGTCGTGTCTGTTGACAGTTCCTGCAGGGCGTCGTTGGAAGCACTGAGAGCGGTGAGTTCGGCGAATCGAGTCACAACTTTTCGTTCGTCGTAGCGATGAGTGACGCGCGACTGATTTCGATAATCGAGGGACCGATTTGGAAATAGTTCTAAATTGGTTTTTGTATCAATGTTGGAAGATTTAGAAAGATCGAATGAATGATTTGGGTCGAAAGTATTTCGAGCTGGTTCGTTTGATAAGCGCTGCATTTTTTGGTTCTAAGTTGTTTCGCTGTAAAAGCAAATGAAGACAATCTGGTCGAATTTGCAGACTAGTGGCTTAATTGGTCAGCTTTCAGTTTAAATAATATCGATTTTTTTTATTACTGTGTACCAATGTTTTTCTAGTCTGAGCGGTTAAAGTTGCCTGGAGGCGTTTTTACCGTATGCTTATTTAAATTTTACCGTCTTGCCACGTTTTGATCCATTAAAGATGAGAGATTTGAAAGCTTTCAAATTGTGTTCATGGATTTAAAAATTTTCCATGGAATTATGGAAAAAACCGCGTTCAAAACACTTTGTTTACTCGCATCAATATTTGAATCACCATCTGCGTTTTTTTTTTCAAATCAGCACAAGTTTTTACCTTTTCCTTTTTATTAGCAAACAGGTGATTTAGCTGGAGTACTGTTTATTATTACCTTCGGTGGTTGGTATTAAATGATACAAATTTCAGACAATGAAATTGGGTGATTATTACGAGTGACAAAAAACTACTGATCGAATGATTGAAGTGTAAAGACAAGTTGAAAATCAAATCATTTTAATTTGTTTCCTGAAGGAAACATAAAAGGAATGCTCTTACCATGTTGCCCGCAATAACGCGACTAGCAATTAAAGTAATTTGCAGTAGCTGGTATATTTAAAGTTTGAATGATATATTAAAAAAGAAATTCGAATTTTGAAAAAACAAAAGTTTTTTTTCAAGGTGAGATGATGAATTTGCAGATTATGATGTTTTTTAATTTTTTACCATGTGTTCATATCGCGATGGTAAGAGAAAAATATTTCATGGTTGAGAAGAAGAGGGTGAACAAATAGCCTCAAATTCAGACCCCCTTAATCGTCACTATTATTTTTTTGATAACGTTTGCGATTAACCGTCGGAACAAATCGGAACAGAATTTTTTCAGGTTAACAAGTTGTTAAACACCCATTTGATGGCTTGATTGACAGAAACGACGAATTTTTCAATCTCCTACCAGTCACAAGAAAGCGATAAATTAAGCTTTGATTTATATCATTTCACTCTCCGTTACAGTAAGTCTTTACGCACCACTGGCATGAATGAAACATCATTTTTTTCGAAACCAAAAGGGCGTTATTTTTGAAAATCACACTTGATCCCTACAATTTTTTATGTACCTTAAACCGTACAAATAAACTATTGTATGCTAAAATTAATTCCCTCTCTCTCGAGAGATGTCTTGAAAAATAAAGGTTATTTAAGTCCTCTCAGCTCAAAAAAATTCTGATTCTTAACTAGTGTCATGTTCTTTCTGATATAATTTTCGAAAATTTCCTGAATAGGCGACGCTTTTATGAAATTCTTTTATTGTTAATATCGAAATATTATTGTCAAAATTTGTTAAAATGTAAGACATAAGATCAAATAATTTTGCTATCATTTATCGAGAACCTAATTTGTGTAGTTCAAGATTTTCTTTTGTTTCAGGTTTTTGATTTTATATCATGTTGGAAAAATAAGTCATTTTTGCGAATTCGTTCGAGATTTCATTGGAGTGTTTTTGCTGAATGATCAGCATTTCTCAAAATGGCTTCTGAACTAGAATGCTCTTCGGAGGGAATGAAAGATGAAAAGGGAACAGCGGGATGTTCGAGCAGCAACCTCAGTGGAGATGCTAAAAAGAAAGCGATGTGTGTTATTGTATTGGGCATGGCTGGAAGTGGCAAGACCACTTTTGTCAGACAACTGAACAGCCATTTAATTGCAAAGGGAAACAAGTGTTACGTCATGAACCTGGACCCTGCAGTTAACGAGGTGCCCTACCCAGTGAATATTGACATCAGAGACACTGTGAAGTACAAACAAGTCATGCAGCAGTATGGACTGGGACCCAACGGGGCCATTATGACGTCACTCAACATATTCGCAACCAAATTTCATCAGGTTTCATTTGAAAATTTGTAAAGAATTCGAGATGAACGGGAATGTTAATAATATTAGCACTTAATTATTGTTAAATTGATATTGTTATTTTTCCGACTTTCGATACGAAAATAACGGAATATTTGTGCTCGGGGTGGGTTTTTTTATTCAGACAAATTTCGACTTTTTAACTAGCCATTTTTGACGAATTTTTTTGATATCATTCAAAAGGTTTTGTTGTCTTGAGCTTAAATTTGAAAAGATATTTCACCTGTGATTGTTTTTCGTAAAGTTATGAGGGTTTAAAGATTGCCATTTTGACCAATTTGGGACAATTAACGCGCGATATATTTCGCGCTATTAACGCGTAAGCGGAGATTAATCCGTCTTATAAATCGTTCCAAATTGGTTGAACGAAGCTTATTTGCCATAATTGATTTGTTGGTTCCCCCTTTTTTTAACTCGAAACAACTTAACACCCTACAATTTCACTCCCTACTTTTTGTTGCCTTAGCAATATAATATTGCTACATTTTAAAACAGTTTTTATGACTTAACACCTTTGTAATCCAAAATGAAAAGAAAACTTACTTCAAAGGGGATTTCGGTAACCATCAAAGAATTAAACGAGAGAAATTTTTGCCATTTAAAGCCAGACAAATTTGCGCTAATTAATCTGCGTAAGTTTTGAATAGAATTGACCTTGCAAATGCTTTCTATGAAACGTTTGAAACCAAAATCAAATGGCCTTGCCAATATTTTCAATGAAGCATTCCAAAATGAACCAAAAACACGCAATAGTTCAATGAACTTCAAAAGCACGCAAATAATTATGGCCTTTGACTAATATGGCCTAATTTTGTAGACATTTTCAGCCGGTATAGAAATTTAAAAAAGGTTAAACCATTTCCAAAAGCCTTAAAATCATTATTTTTAGAATCATTCTCGAACTTAAGCTTATGACCTGATCGCTTTGTCAGCTTTTTTTGAATTGTTGGCACATAAAGGCAAAGCTAAAGGGTTTGCCCAAGCTAAAGGGATGCCGTAGTCCCAAGCTAGCATCCCGAAAATAAGGGCGATTGTCCTGGGATTAAATTGCTAAGGCACGAGTCATGTTCCTGCGTTTACTTACGTTTCCGGGAGTCTGCAAGGAAACGTCTTTTCAAAAAAAGCTGACAAAAATTTCAGTAGGTTTAAAATTTGAATTTTAATAATACGAAAGAATAAACAAAAATGAAATAAAATTTGCAATGGTTTAACACAAACTAGATAACGCTCTGAAAAAATACAGATCAGTTTTGTCTTCGTAAACGGACATTATGTTTTGCACTCTTTCATTTAATACTCGATACTTTTTCTTTTTTGTGAACCTTTGGCCACTCGATGCATCAAAGAAGTTGAGTTTTTGTACGGAAGCGTCTTTTTGCAGGCTACCCACTACTTTCCACATATTTGGGTGGGCTCCGCTGAAATATGATTGAATCCCGAAATGCCATCCCTCGACAACATTTGTTGTTCGAGCAATCCCCATCACGGCCGCATCTCGCTGGTTCCAAAGGGAGGGTGGGAATGAAACTTCACGGTTTGGCACCAAGCTTTTTATATAAGTAGAGCCGAAGTACAGACACAACTCGTCAATTTTTTCGGGTTCTAAACCATTTCTGTCGCATACAGTTTGAATTTCCTGAACGATCATGTCATAGGAATCGCCGATCTTTTTTTTTCAAATGCAAGGGATGGCAGCATTTTTAAAGCCAGCGCTAAATCGTGATTCGTTTCGTAGGTCACTTTCAGACCCAATTCGTTAATTTTTCTCATGTAACTCTGAGAGAGATGGAAAAAACAACCCGATCAATGTGCTTCGGGGAATGTTTTTTGGAAGGACTGAAGAGCAGCTTGCTCAAAATCTAACAAATTTTTTTTCAGGCCAACAGTTGGGTGCTAAATCAATTAACGCCTGCAGGAAGCGATGGTAGGTTTTTTCGGTTTTGTTAGGAAGGAAGGCGTAAATGCAACCGGGCACAATGCCAGATACACTAACATGAATTGAATAAAGCTGATAGAAAATTTTTGGAGTAATTTTAAAAGTTCCATCGGCTAACCAGAAAGATGACTTCTCCAGAACTCTCAGCATTTCGGGGTCGCCGCACAAAATGATTCGCTCATGATCATTTGATTCACTGTCAAACCGGATAAAATTTTCAAAAATTTCAGGGATCTCGAAATTTCGCGCAACGGGGATGGGCCGCATATTTACATCTAGCTGCTTACGAGTGCGAGCAGCCGTTCGGATCAGTTTGTCTTTACTTGGGAGAGCAAACTGACTAGCCAAATTGTTTGTAATTGGCAAAACCGCACTGGCAACTGCAACAGTCGGGGTAAATCTCTCGCTGAGATCTTTTATATGCTTTATGGTATTTCGGGCCTCCGATTTTCCCGCTGAAATGTCGTGGTTATACTCTCCACGCGTCTCGATTAATTCATTTTTTCAGTAATGGCAGTTGCTCGACATTTATGTGTTTGATATTTTTAGCAAATCCAGTTTTCTGTAAACTTATTTTTTCGCTTGAAATATAATTCGTGGCCGGACGCTATAAGGATTGGCTTGTATTTAGATGAAACTGTGAACTCGAAAGAAGACTCAATCATAATGTTTATTGTGTTTGCGTTTGTTTATCACTTGAGTAAAATATAAAGTGACTGTCAGAGTTTAATTTTTGTCAGAATTTTTACGTCAAATTGTTATGAATTAGCACAAGCAGCTTTTAGTAATCATAATGGTTTAGCGAAAAGTCTAATTGAAAATAAATTACAAACTTGCAGATAAGAGTCTTAAGTAAATTAGGAAGCCTCCTTTTAGCATGTATAACTAAGATAAACCAAGTTTTTCATTAGGGTGCGTGTGTTAATTGCAGGATTAACTTTGGTGTGATAAGAGTTAAGATAAGGAATTCATACAGCATTAGATGTAATAGTGAAATGACTAAGTGTTAAAAGTACTGTGTTTAACTGGAAAATAGGAGTTATATTGTTGTCGATTTAAATTGTTTAGTAGTGAAATGACTAAGTGTTAAAATGTACGGTGTTAAATTGTATGTCATTAAATTGTAGGACACCGATTTGTTACAAGGAACGAAATCTATCTTTTTGTACTTCATATGGCGTGTGGGGGATGAATTTCAAAAAAAAATGTCAAATTTTACAAAAAAAATTATTTTACTTTATTTCATTTAATTTTTTATGTTAATACTGCTGCTCCATAAACCTTAAAAGGCAGTCGGAACATTCAGGGCTTCGCCGTGATACGAGCAGTCTTGTTTTATTATTAGCACTGTATTGTATGTTCTTCTTCGACCGCCCTGGGCGAAATTTTGTATTCAGTGGCTTTTTGTTACTAGGTTGCACAAATAACGTCGCATTAATCCTGTTGAAGTCCTTTGATCGTTATTCGAGCTGCAAATAAAGTTTGTGGAATTTTTTTAACACGATGTCAAGAAAAAAGGTTTTATCGACTTAAATTGTTATAGGAGTAAGCTATTATTAGTTCTATTGGAAGCGTCAAGAAAGGTTTTAAGTCCCCTCACTTGATCAAAAAACTAAAAATCACAAAAGAAAATCCGAACCGCAAATTTGATTACGGTCGGAACATTCTGTAATACTTTGATAGCAACCGTCTATGCTATTAATTTATCCTGAGGGAAGCGCATCAAAAGTTTTGTGAAAGAAGGTCCGATATTGATCAGAGTTGAATGTTGGAATCTAGATTCTGCAAGGCTTTTTTTCTCATTGTCAATGCTTTTTTTACCTTTTCACTTACCCATTTGACTTTTTAATTTTTTTATAGCTACCTTGTGTTGTCGTTTTCCCGCTTGGGTTTGCAAAGAGCTGGTTTGCGTCTTTTTAAAGCTTGCTGTTTGATTTAGTTTTTCGAGCAAATGTTCAAGTGGTGTGAATCGTAACTAAGTAACTATTGTAAGGATTCGTAACTACAATGCGGATTCAACTTAACCGTTCAAGACTGAAAATTTCTAACATGCTTTCCTCAAATTGAGTTAAAATGAGACGAAAAACAATGAAAAAAAAATAATGAGAATTTGAATATGAGGAATGATGAAAATCCTGAAAATTGCATTGAATTAGTTTGTTTAAACTGCTGGTGTTGGATTTGGTTGAGAAACGAATGAATAATGAGGAGGTTGACTATGTGCTGGTTGACACTCCTGGCCAGATAGAAGTGTTCACATGGAGTGCCAGTGGGGCCATAATTAGTGAGGCCATGGCATCCCTCATGCCCACTGTAGTCGTGTACGTCATGGACACGCAAAGGAGCAGCTCAACAGGTCAGAAAACAGAACTAATTCAATCATTCTTGTGCAGTCTATGTTTTTGTGATTTATTTTGCTGCAGTTTTCAGCTTGAGTAGTTTCTGCTCACTCAGTATCTATCGGCGGTATGCCCAATCCGATTTGATTTCTTGAAAGGATATTTTAACGCTATTTTTCTTGTTTAATTTATTGCATACTGTTTAAGTGATTTTGCAAATTTTATGGTCATTTGTTTTCAATAAATTCATAATGAGAACCGTATGCAATGTTTCGACCATTTTTTTCTTTTTCATTTTACATTTTGTTAATTTTTGTTTTGCATTCAATTTCTGTCGGTTTCGATGTCTATCTTTTTACTGCCCTGTCTCCATTTTCGTTATTTTCACTTATATAGGTCTTTATATTTTCTTTTCATGATGACGATGACACGGTCTGTGGTGTTTAGTGACGTTTATGAGCAACATGCTGTATGCGTGCAGTATCTTGTACAAGAGTAGGTTGCCGCTAGTGGTGGCCATGAACAAAACAGACATTGTGAGTCATGCTTTCGCGGAGGAATGGATGCGCGACTGGACTGTGTTCGAGGACTCCCTCTCCTCTCAACAGTCTTCCTACTCTGCAAACCTCGCGAGATCCATGTCGTTAGCTCTTGGTCAGTAAAGAATTCAGTTGAACATCTCTTGAATTATTTGCACCCTTCTGATATCTAGCAGAGGTTATCAGCCTCTAAAATAGAAAAAACTCAAACGGTTAAGCATATGCGAAAATTGAACATTGTAATGAATCCCACAATAGTAAAGATTATTAACCATTTTTTTGGTGGTCAATAAAATACGTAGTTAGAAATCATTTGCAAGGATAACAAACATGGGATATCTTTAACTGTTTTCCCCCTTTTGCAAAAGGGATAGATTCGTTACTAGATACAAAATTCACGAATGCTTTTCCGTTGAAAAAGTTCATTATAGGGGTGGCAATTCATTACTAGGTACCAAAAGAGGGAATAGTTAAAAGATTCGAAACTTGTTATATAGAACTTTTTGATGGTACCTATCAGAACTGAATGAAAAACATTTAGATTAAAAATTATATATGGTAATTGAACAGTGTTACCTTTGCGATAAGCAAGGGTATTGCCCTCGGGTACTAGACTTTTTCCCGTCAAAAATTTTGTTCCTAGAATGGACGAAATGGTAATCATTTCAATAGCACCATGGTTAGTGTAGTGTGCATTAGTTACATACTAGGTGTGGGCTTCGGGTTCCTGTTAAAAAAATTTTTAAGAGTATTTCTGTGCCGAAAATGTTCGGTAGACTGCAAGAGTCGGCTTAAATTTCGTCGGCTTATTTTCCGAATGCATGTTTTTTTTCAATTATCTTTCTTTGCTATTATGTGGGAGTGATTGATTTTTATTTTGAAGTTTCGGAAAAATTTAAATCAACCTTCCCGACTTAAAAAAAATTAAAAAACACATTTTTTCAATTTTTTTTCCAGTTCAAGAAACATAATTTGTTCAATTTTTTGTTCTTTTTGGTTGTTCGACCGGCTGTATTCATCGCATTTTTTGGTGCACCTAAAAAGCTCGATGTTTTTTCGAAATTTGATTCTTATCTTTTTTTAAAGCTAGTCATTTCATTTGAAAAATATGACCAAGCCAGCCTGAAGTCCTATCAAATCCGAATTAAATTAAGTAAGTTTTCGGTAATGTTCCTCACAATTGCTAGACGCATTTATTGTTTTACTCTGTCAACTTGAGTTGCTGTCTGCTACTCTTCCTGATTAACTTGTATTTCTTTGGTTTAAAGTAGTTTCAATGTGTTAAAATTGTAACGAAATATTTTTTTAGTTTTTTCGATGTCAATTTAAAAAAAAACGTTGTACTTAATTTTTTTTCACTTCCAGATAATATTGATACGTTTCCGGACTCTCTTTTTAAATGGTTCAATGATACGTCTTTTTTCGTTTAATGGCATTTTTTGGTTGAGGTTTTGATCAACTTTCTTTTTCTTGAAACTTGTTTTGTCTGATCGGAGTTTCTGTCTTTAGGAATTAAAATTGTTGTTTGTTTTCGGATTCAGAATTTTTCCAAAATCATTTGTTTGCTCTGAGCAGCGTCTCTGTCTTGTATCTACATCTTTGTTTGATTCGATTTTTTTGAGCAATTTTTCTTTTAACAAGAAGAATAGTTTTTAGATTTTGAATTTAAAAACTATTCTTCATGTTCAATCGTTTCTTGTTTTTAGAAATGTTTCAGTTGTTTTTGGATGTGGCGTGTTGTTTGGGTGAGTCAAACTGATTTTGCTGCTTGTTTAGTTTTCAAAAAAAATTTCCAAGATTTTTTCCAACCGATTTTTTACAACTTTCTAGATGCGCTTTTTTCCATCGCAAGTGGTGCGCTCGAGTGCGCAATTTTCGATTGCGCTCGAGTGCGCAATTGTTATTAGTTTTGATAAAGATCGAGTGCGCAAATTTCATTAATTTTGATAATGAGTGCGAGTAATTTGGATCAAACTATAGGAAACAGCACATTTGTATACTATACCAGCCAGGAATATCCGATAAAATATTCTACCCGATTTTGATAATGCTCAGGTGGGAGGGGGGGTGTCATGAAATCTGAAAGAAATACACTCGAACATCTGAAATAAATACATCGTCAATTTTAAAGTTTCAGGGACATTGATGGTCATGAAAATAGCCGCCGTTCAAGTTCCTTAGTTCTTCGCTTATGATTGCACATTTGAAACTAACTTTCTTCATTAGATTGACAGCATGGTTAGAATTTATTTTTTTCTGGTGCTCTGAGAATATCCTCCTTTATGTTTAGAGGAGTTTTACCAACATCTTCGATGTGTGGGCGTCTCATCTCTGGCAGGAGTTGGATTTGAAAAGCTGGAGGATCAATTGAATGGAGCGAGAGAGGAGTACAACAAGGATTACAAGGCAGAGATGGCCTTGTGTTACTTGGTTTTAGAAATAAGATTGAGTTTTTGTCAAAAATTTCTAGTCATAGAATTGAACCATAGCTCGAGGGCCGGTGGATTAAGCTCCTATTGCGCCTTTAGTTTTCCGGTACACTATAGTTTAGGTTTTCGACATTTTTTCAATATTCCAAATAATGCTCAAGTTCTAAGTGGCCATTGTTTTATAGCGCTAGTTAGATTTGAGTACTTGAGCGTCAAGAAAGCGTTATTTTGTAATTGAAAGCGTCTGGTTTCGATGGCCGAAACTTGGCCTTAAAACAGAACGAATAATGTAGTTTTCTGCCGAACAATGTGAATATATAAGGTCATCTCTGGTTGATTCAAGGCACAGTACGAGAAAATAAAGGCAGAAAAACTTAAGCAAAACATGGAAAAATTAAAGGCTGACAGAATACAAGAGAAGGAAACAGAGAAAACCAAAGTCAACGTGCAGCAGAATATTGAGTCAGAGTCGAGCATGGAAGAGGAACAGGACAAAAATGGCCATCAAGGAACACCTTCTGTATCGAATCAATGAAAAACGAAGCAACATTTAACATTAACTGGTTCCTGTTGAAAGAATAACCTGGAATTCCCAGATAGCTTTGTGGAATCAGATGAAAGTCTGGTGATAAAGAAATCGATTGGAGCAGATTGTGATTAGAGAAATATGAAACAAATTCAACTATAATTTTGTTATGCTTTCCGAGTTCTTTTTTTCTTCCACTTGGAATTTATTTTTCCATGAAGTTTTCTCCTTTTTAGAAAAAGTTTCTAAGTCGCAATGAAAGAAGTGAAGAATCTTATTTATGCTGTGTTTTTTTTTCAAGATAATTTTAAAAGGTCATTCACGTTCAAATTTATGTTCTCATTGTTTGGCTTCTGATTTTTTGTAAGTTCACTTAAACGGAAGGCAATTTGCCGTTTTCAATAACAAATGTGAACATGGACGTGGTTGGCTAAATTTTTCAAAGTGGATTTTGCTTTTACATTTTATAGCGGAATAGAAAAATTAACCGTTGCTTCAGTTTTCTCAAATTCGGTTAGTTTCATCGAAAGAATATTAAAGATTCATGAAATTTAAAGAACTCTTATATAGGCTCTGTCTATCTTGTATTGGTTGATGTGTTTTTCCAGGTTAACAATTTGTCTAACAGAGTAACTGAATCATTTACTCAATTCTGTGATTTCGTTAGCAACAGAGATCTTTTGAGCATGTTTACATTATAAAATCCCGTTCTAGTTTTTTGTTGATAGTAAATTTAGCAACTCCGATTCTGTAGTGTAGCTTTTTTCGTTTTAACGAATGAAAACCTTTGAACTTATATAATTTCGGTTTGTCGCATCAGATTGCGTCGTTTAATAGGCGCAAAACATTTAAATGGATGTTTGATTTTCAGGGGGGGGGTGAAAATTTGGAGTTTCAAAATGCATCTTAGATCAAAAGTTTTTTATGAAAACATTTTTTTTGGCTCAACGGGCAACTGCCCAACTAATGTCGATTTAGTTACCGCTTTGTACTTTTTTCTATGAATATAGAACGCTGGCAATTGTCTTATTTGCATGTTTTTCTCAAAATTAACTACATCTAAGAAAACTCGAGAAACACACATGAAAGTTTTGGTTTCTAGCTTACATCTAATTTTTTTGGCACGATTTTTAGGCTTAACGGCTTTTGTCTCACTTTCTTTCAGCTTGTTTGCCATGCTTTTTTCTTTATATCGCAGAGGTCTAAGGAACATGGTTTATGCCTCGTATAGAACTGAAATTATCTAATTGCTTGATTTAGCGCTTTTTAAACGGGATGGTAGGAGAGAGATGGGGTTAGAAGGTTTCAGGTTTAATTACACGAACTAATCCATTTAAGCGTTTCAAATATTCTACTGTTTCTGATTTACTGCGAGGTGACACATTAATTTTGTTGATAAGTGTTTGGTATTTTTTTACTGTTTTTGTTCAGCAAAAAATGAGCAAACAAAATTGAAGAAGTTTGTTTTCACACATTCTTTCTGAAAAGTGGATTTTGTTTTGATTTTCACATGCTTAGTGCAGTGTTACATAGCATTGCAGCACTTTGTCCTAGCGCTTGAAACAGTGCATGGTGTTACACAGATATAGTTCTATTTGTGTACAGAAGTTTTGCAAGAAGAATTGGTGTTTTTCTCTGATATCGACAGGAAAAGATGCATTTTGGCATGTCTGGCTTTTAAATACCTGTTCCGTAGGAAATTGGTTACTTCATCGCTTGATGGGCGAAATAGAGTTTTTTTGCGTATGTGTTTAAGGGGTAGGATGGATTCGGATACTTCGGTACTTTTTCTTGAGTTTTTCAGAGAAAAGGAACAGGACAAAAATGGCCATCAAGGAACACCTGTATCGAATCAATGAAAAACGAAGCAACATTGAACTGGTTCCTGTTGAAAGAATAACCTGGAATTCCCAGATAGCTTTTGTAGAATCAGATAAAAGTCTGGTGATAAAGAAATTGATTGGAGCAGATTGTGATAAGAGAAGTATGAGACAAATTGAACTATAATTTTGTTATGCTTTCCGAGTTCTGTTTTTCTTCTACTTGGAATTTATTTTTCCTTGAAGTTTTCTCCTTTTTTGAAAAAGTTTCTAAGTCGCAATGAAAGAAGTGAAGAATCTTATTTATGCTGTGTTTTTGTTCAAGATAATTTTAAAAGGTCAATCGCGTTCAAATTTATGTTCTCATGGTTTGGCTTCTGATTTTTTTGTAAGTTCACTTAAACGTAAGGCAATTTGCCGTTTTCAATAACAAATGTGAACATGGACGTGATTGGCTAAAGTTTTCAAAGTGGATTTTGCTTTTACATTTTATAGCGGAATAAAAAAATTAACCGTTGCTTCAGTTTTCTCAAATTCGGTTAGTTTCAACGAAAGAGTGTCAGAATATTAAAGATTCATGAAATTCAAAGAACTCTTATATAGGCTCTGTCTATCTTGTATTGGTTGTGTTTTTCCAGGTTAACAATTTGTCTAACAGAGTAACTGAATCATTTACTCAGTTCTGTGATTTCGTTAGCAACAGATCTTTTGAGCATGTTAACATTATAAAATCCCGTTCTAGTTTTTTGTTGATTGTGAATTTAGCAACTCCGATTCTGTAGTGTAGCTTTTTTTCGTTTTAACGAATGAAAACCTTTGAACTGATATAATTTCGGCTTTGTCGCCTCAGATTGCGTCGTTTAATAGGCGCAAAACTTTCAAATGGATGTTTGACTTTAAGGGGGGGGGGTGAAAATTTGGAATTTCAAAATGCATCTTAGATCAACGTTTTTTTATGAAAACATTTTTTTTGGCTCAACGGGCGGCTGCCCAACTTATGTCGATTTAGTTACCGGTTTGTACTTTTTTTCTATGAATATAGAACGCTGGCAATCGTCTTATTTGCATGTTTTTCTCAAAATTAACTACATCTAAGAAAATTCGAGAAACACACATGAAAGTTTTGGTTTCTGTTTACATCTAGTTTTTTTGGCACGATTGTTTTTGTCTTAACGGCTTTTGTCTCACTTTCTTTCAGCTTGTTTGCCATGCTTTTTTCCTTATATCGCAGAGGTCTAAGGAACATGGTTTATGCCTCGTATAGAACTGAAATTATCTAATTGCCTGATTTAGCGCTTTGTAAACGGGATGGTAGGAGAGAGATGGGGTTAGAAGGTTTCAGGTTTAATTACACGAAGTAATCCATTTAAGCATTTCAAATATTCTACGGTTTCTGATTTACTGCGAGGTGACCCATTAATTTTACTGATAAGTGTTAGGTATTTTTGTACTGTTTTTGTTCAGCAAAAAATGAGCAAATAAAATTGAAAAAGTTTGTTGTCACACATTCTTTCTGAAAAGTGGATTTTGTTTTGATTTTCACATGCTTAGTGCAGTGTTACATAGCATTGCAGCACTTTGTCCTAGCGCTTGAAACAGTGCATGGTGTTACACAGATATAGTTCTATTTGTGTACAGAAATATTTCTCGAAGAATTGGTGTTTTTCTCTGATATCGACAGGAAAAGATGCATTTTGGCATGTCTGGCTTTTAAATACCTGTTCTGTAGGAAATTGGTTACTTCATCGCTTGATGGGCGAAATAGAGTTTTTTTTGCGTATGTGTTTTAGAGGTAGGATGGATTTGGATACTTCGGAACTTTTTCTTGAGTTTTTCAGCTTTATGAGTTCTGCTCTGATGCTTAAACCGTTGCGATAATCACGCACTTTGTCTAACAGACTCATTTGATACCTTGATATATAATAAATTGAAGTCCAGTGTCTAGTTGTGTTAATTTCGGTTATAGTCAACCTGCGCTCTAGGGTCGAAAAATTGCAGGGTTTGAATCCGGCATGGGGCTATTTTTCATGAGAACTGAAAATTTTCTTGTTAAAAAAATCAGTTTGCGAACTATCGTTTAACTGCTTATTTGTTTTCGGCTTAGTTTCCTCACCTCGATTTTTCTTTTTTAACGGATTTCAGTTTATAATTCGAAATTTTTTTTAATGTATCCGATATTGAGTAATTGAGTTTCATGAAGTTTTTTAAATTTTGATTCACGAAGTTTCATGAAGTTTTTTAAATTTGATTTTAGATTAGTTTTTTGTATGTTTCTAATAGTCGCAAGAAATCTTTGAATGGAGCTCTGTCTAAGACTAATTGAATTTGTTAATACACTAGCCAGCTTGCGACCGTTAGGGTATTAGTTCGTAACTTCTTTTTTTTCTAAGTTAACTCGCCAATATAAAGTGTTCATTAAAATTGTTCACTTGTTTGGTGGCACTATTGCTGTAATCACGATCTGTAGCATTAAAATTTTCATAGCATCCGTTCTCTGCTTTGTTTGTGGCTAGTGTTTGTGATAAATTACGCGTCCGTGGCTGAGTGGTTAATGCGGGAGACTGATAAATTCTAGATCGCAGATCGAATCCGAGGCGTGGCAGAATTTTTACTAATTGTTCTCTTGTGTTTGCCAAGCCCAGCTTCGCTTCTGTGTCATGAGTACGAGTTGATTTATTTTAGAAGGATAAGCCATGAAACTTTAAATTTATACAAATACAAAGTCTTTTTAGCACCCTTTTGGGAATAAGTTTTAATAATTTATAGTGAATTTCGCAAAAATAATCGGAATGATTCGAGTGATATATCATATTAAAGCTTTCTCAGTCGTATTTTGAACTTTAAAAAATTTCCTAAAGTTGTTTTAGTGTCGAGAAAATTTGGTTGACAATTGTTTCAGCTTCAGTTCAATTTTGAGCGATAAAAGCAAACGAGCAGGTTTATTATAGAAGGATAAGCTATGGAACTTAAATTCTACTCCAGTAATTTTTTTTTCGAAAATTTTTAATGTCTCCTAAAGGTCGCCTTAGTTGCCGCTCGGTAAATGACTTCCAATGTTTTTAAAAGTGTTTTTAAATATCATTCAATGCAATTAGAAAATTTGCAAACTTGTAGAGATAATGTTTCAATTGTTTTTCTATACTTTTTTCTTTAGTTAACTTTCTTTTTGCTTTCTTTGAGTTTTGCATTATATTTTGAATTCCTTCTGGATTTTTATTGATGTCTCAACTTAAAAGAAGCTGGAAAAATGCACCGTTTTGTCAATGGCTATATTTTTGGTAATTTTATTTTGTTCCGACCATTGAAAATTGGGAGGAACTTTGTTTTCGGGTATTTTAGTTTTTTTTGCTTTTTGTTTTCCACGCAAAATCAGGTACGCAATAATCATCGGACTGGGATG